TCACTTTATATATGATTTTAACTTCTCGCTCTACTGAAGGTCGCTTCTTCGAACTTTGCTGACGTACAGTATCTCTAAACTAATGCTCTTTTTAAGTTGAAACTATGTAAGTAGTATTTGCATGCTTTTAGTCTATGTTCTCCTAATGACTTCTCAGTTCACTGAAACGTTGTTTAAGTTTCACTTATAAAAACTCTACGCCTAAATCTATTGTATCATTATAGCCAACCAAAACCTTATGCGAATATAAGTGGACACTTTTTAATACATAAATAGATGTTGCACTCTATTCTAACCTACATCCATTCCCTTGTAATCTTAGAGTATAAAGTTCACTTTGCTAGTAGTTAGTTACAACTCTCCTAAATCTTGTAATTTCCAGACTTAAACCTAGTGTCCTAATATGCTACTTTTCAGTCCCTAACTTTAAATACAACTCCGCTACTACCTACAGCAAGAATTATTATTGTAAAAAATGCAGGACTCGCGAGTTCTTTTTAATTATTCTATTCAAACTCAATGTCTAACAGAGGAGCATGCGATGATATCGCTTTTTTGTCCTCACAGAAAATGGACTTTTGAGCCCTATCAACACGCAAGAAGCAAAATCCATTATGGGTCCTCCAAGCAATATCTTACACTCTAATACTACAGGCCTCCCTTATCAAGCAGGTGTGTGAAGAGGTCATCTTGAAGTAAAAATCTGAAACTGATGACTGAAAATAACACTCATATAACATTTGTTTGTTTGTTTGTTTTTTAAGCACAAAGCTACACAAAGGGCTATCTGTGCTCTGCCCACCACGGGTATTGAAACCCGGTTTCTAGCGTTATAAGTCCTGAGACATATAACATTTAAAAGTATTATTCTATTAGTGTGAGAGTTCTTGAAAAGAGCGATTGGTATATTACTTGAAAAAGGAAACCTCCACTTTCGCATATATACACACTATGATCTTATTCAACTAAAAAAATATTAAATTAATTGAAAATCAATATCTATATTTGTTATTTATTGAATAGTATCATAACTCGTATTTATTTTACTATTTTTTTAATTGCTTTTAACACACTTGCATTCGAATACTTTGCAAAAGAAATAATTGAAGGACAATTTAAAACTATTTCATTATAAATTTTAATTATGTGATTAGCATAAAACAATGTGAAATATTTAGTTGACTAATATTTTTCTTCGAAGTTTAGTGACATATTTATTAGGAAAAATCAATCTTCCACTGTGCTGTATTTTGATTTTTGATACACATATATATATATATATTACAGTCTTGGCCAAAATGTTTACATACTTTTCTAAATTAATGTTATTGTCTACATGCATAGAGTAGTTATTGAGTAAATGCCTAAGTAGTATGATCAGTTGTTGTACGATCTGTTATTCTGGTCTGTATGAGTTGTTTTGAGAATTTGTTCCTCAAACCACACACATACACACCTATTTTGTATCAAAGGGTGTGCTTTTAGTATAATTTTTTCGAAACAGATCAACGCTTTCTTCAGACAATGTCTCTGTACTTGGTGTAGAATGATGCTTCGTTACGTGTCAGAAGTTATAGTACATCTGATTGTTCGACTGTACAAAAATGGTATGAAGCAAATGGACATTGCCAAAACAATAGAGTACCCCCAGTGTACTGTATCCAGAATACGAAAACATCATCAAACTACAGGAAACGTTGTTCCAGGAAAGTATACTGGTAGACGCTGAAAAACTCTACCCGATATGACTGTCTTTTAATCAGGTTAAGATCTTACGACAGGAATGGTATGATCACGTTCATTCCAGGGTATTCAGAGGAGCAGTTAATATAAGACTGACCAAACAAGGTTATTTTGCAAGAAGGGTTATCTGTAAACCGATATTAACCAGATTTCTTCGCCGTCACCGTGTTACTTGAGCAAGACAGCATGCCAGCTTTCAGTTAGGACACTGGCGACATGTCATCTTTTCAGATGAGTCCTGTTTCTGGCTTGTTAAATCTGATGGCAGGAATCGTGTTCGTCTTTTTCCTAGAGAACAGTAGATGTTTGGACAGCTACTCATCATAGTGGAAATACTGCTCTTCATATTCTCCAGGTAAACATCAATGGCGTCTCCTACAGACATCACATGGAGACGATATTTTTGCCATTTACTAGGGCAAGGTTTGGCAATAACTTTGTGTTCCAGGATAACAATGCCAAATGCCCACAATGCACGTACTGTACAGGATTACAGGAGGTCGTTACAAGATTTCCATGACCAGCATAATCTCCAGATTGTAATCCCATTGAGAACTGTTGGCAGAACTGACCCAGAATATTGCTAACCACGACCCTAAATCAGCTACTGAAATTGAGTTGCAGCGCCTTCTAGTGACCAATTGGAACAAAAACATAGTGTATTACAGCAATGACCTCATCGACAGCATGAGAAGTCGCCTTGCGGTGGTTATTAGAGTACGAGGAGGACCAACCAAATACTGAATATTTAATATGAACTGATATAAGGTTACGGACGCTATTTATAATTATTTGATGATATATTTTGTCATTATATATGTTTTGGTAAGGTTTTGTTGTGATAGGTGAAATGCTGAATATTACATCTTTTTACATTTTTCTTACACAAATTACATACGTAGATGTTTAATATAACTTTTTTTCTCATTTTGACAGTGCTAAGTCTATTTGTATTCTGTCTTAATAATAATGATCAAATTTGTTACAAAATATGCAAACATTTTGGCCAACCTTACGAAAAACAATAAGTGTAAAAAAAATTACAATATGATACTTTAACCATGGTTCTATTTTAGTTTTACATTGTTAGGATTTATTTAGACCATTTTGTGTATCCCCATTTTTTCTCTATCTCTGATTCTTTGGGAAAAACGAGCGGCAGCGGTGTGAAAGGCTGGGCGCGTGATTAATCTAGCTTTGAGCTGTTGCTTGGCCTTAACACTAATTATACGTTTACTTATTAAACATTTTGAAATGTACGATGCTAAGGTGGTGATATAAACTATTCAAATTAAAAATGAAAGTCCTGTTAAAATTAGGAATTAAACATGTATGGTACCGAACTAGGGACTGAAGAAAACTTTATTATTTGATTTCTTCACCGATTATACTTGTTTCTCCACTGACAAAACTTTATATACCAAACACCTAACAAATAAACACT